CATCTCCTCTCACCCGGTTTCATCAAGAATCGGGTGAGTTTTGCACTTTCCCGCWTGTCTTTCTCCTTCGTCCCGCCATCACTCCGCGTACTATATCTTCACTCTAAATCCATTTCTACTAACTTGCTMACTAATCTAGCCTCACARTCGTGTTCGCCCGGTGTTAAAACCCCGGAATCCGCTCCTCCCTCATCTACATCCGCTTAGAGATGAGCAAAATTACGTTCATATCCTCTCCTTCTTCCCTCACTCCGCCATGTCCCGTGCAGCCTCATTCTTACTAACCTGCTAATCTACTCACTTTCTAACTAATCTAACCACAGATTCTGACTCGCCACCCTTCAAAACCCCCAACTCGGTTCTTCCCTCGCTCGTTTTCGCYCAGAAACGAGCGAGCTATGCTCTCCCTGCTGCGCCACGCTCGCCCCCTCACCATAGCTGCGCCACCTCTCTGCGTGCACCCCGYGCCGGATCCCGTCCCGGTTCGTCCATTTTTCTTYGTGGCTGCCCGCTGGCTACCTGGCCCGCTAGTGCCTATGYAGCCCATCCAGAGCCACACCGCCCGTCGGTTCACCGCTCGTAGTGTCGCCATTGTTGTCTCTGCCTCGTTCGCTGCAACGCAGCGCTACCTGGCCAACCCGAAGGAGGACTTCGGGAGGATCCGGCTACTAGCCGGTTCAATTAGTCTTTCGCCCTTATACCCAAATCCGACGTTCGACAACTCCAGCTATCCTGCGGGGAACTTCGGAGGGGACCAGCTACTAGACGGTTCGATTAGTCTTTCGCCCCTATACCCACCAGACGGTGTGCCTCCCGTCTGTGTCACTGCTCCGCCACTCGGCCCGCTGCTGCGCCGCGCTGCATTAGCGCTCGTCGGACTGAGGTCCGACGCTACCACCTCCCCGTTGCCTTTACCCCCGAATGCACCCGACACGGCCCTCGTCCGGGTTCATTCTGTTTTTCTGTTCGCTACCTGGCCCGCGGGCTGCTGCATAACGCAGCACCACCGACTCCGCCGTCCAGGCTCTCCCCGCCAAGCTCTCTCTTCGCACCGGCTGCCGGCTTCTTCAGCCTATGGTCCGCGGGCGGCCTGCCACAACCCTTTCTTGCCCGGCTCCGCTCCTACGGTGTCCACCACCACCTCGGACCCCCAACGGGCAAACTCCCGTTCAGTCAGTTGGTCGTGGACGCGCGGCCTGCTGTAAAGCCTATACGTGGGCCTTAGTGAGGCGGGTCTCGTACGACCTTCGGCGGTAATTCCAATGAGAACTTTGAAGACCGAAGTGGAAGGAAAACCCGCGGCCAGCCTTAAAAGGCGCGCAC